AGCAAGGCTCAACAAGTAAAAACAGCAAACAGCAGCAACAGAATTAGAGACGAAAGGAAAAGAAAAGCAAAAAAAAAAACTGATATTTGCTGGAAAAAAGTGGCAAAAATAAAAGTTAAAAGAAAAAGTCATGAAATCAACAGAGCCGTTTGATGTATCAGATTATCGAGTAACTTGTCAACAACAAAAAATGACATTTTTACTCCTGTACCTTACTGCAAAAAACAACTAACGAAATGCCAGTAAATAAATTCACTAATGCACTGTTGCTACATTTCCAAAAAGAAAAAAAAAAGAAACCACTAGCCTTTTTTCCACTTTCTTTCTTTCAACCATAAGCGGAAACCTCAGTTGATTGACACTGGTTACGTGGATGGTGTTATTCGATGTTCGATAACAAAGCACTTCTGGATGATAATCACCGACTAGACAGACTACAGTTTTTAGTTTCCACCGCTTTTTCCTTTCATTTTTCAATTATACTTGAAGATTTGACATAACAATTTTGAAAAATCGTAGTCTATGTCATTTATAATCGCCTAAATTTCTTTTTTTTTTTTTCTTTTTGAATTAATGTTCGACGGTTCACTCAATACAATCAAATAAAATTCCACCCATCAACCGCTTATTGTCACATCGGTAGAACCGCCTGCTTGGTACAGTGTTTGACTGATCTGTGTGAGTGTTTGTGTGCATGTGTTTGAAAAAGTTTATTCTTCTAAACGACCTTTTTATTAAATAGTAAAGGTGCATTTAAAAAAAAAAAAGAGTCAAATTTAATATGCATTTATCAAGCAAAAAGACAAGATAATATTGAAAAAAAAAAGGTGGTTTTTACTTGATTTTTACTTCTATTTAGTAAGTACAGATAAATAAAAACCAAGCAATATTTTGGACAAAAATCAGCTAACAACTCATGAGTATTATATTAAGAAAGTCTTCTTTTGTGCACCAACAGTTTTCAGAATGTTGGTTAGTAATTTTTTTGTGGATAATAAAGGAATTTTTTTTTTGTTAAAAGATTCACTGGTTAGAATAAAGCGTGATTTTTGGTCTAAAAAAAAAAAACCTATTGACTGTAAGGTTTAAGGCTGTCACCAAAAGTGATCAATTGTTATGTGGTACAGTTCATCTGCAACCGATTAATCACAGCCAAAAAAATTCTTTTTTTTTTTTCTTTCGTTTATTTTCTTCATCTTCTTCTTTCACTTTTTTCTTTCTTTTATTTGTCGGCGGTATATTCGTCAAAAAGTTTTTAGAAAGAAAATTACTTTGAAGAAAACGACGACAAAAAGAAGAGGAAAAAAAGGACGAGGAAACAAAAATGTTTAAAAATCAAAAAGCAAAGATTTGAGGTGAAAAAAATGTTTTTTTACTTTTTTTTTTTTTGTTTAAAAACAAGTCTGAAAAAAGTTAAAAAATAGATAATTATTAAAAAAGGAAAAGAAAGTTTTTTCTGTGTCATTAGCATTATTATTCTCACTGTAGCAATCAAATTTATTAGGTAAAGTTAAAAAAAAAGAGGAGAAGCAACATTTATCTTTTTTCCTTCCTCCTTCCCTGCCAAACACCGATTGTATCGCAGAGGTACTCAGATGAGTCAGTGAAGAAAGCAGGAACAAATTTTTAAAAAATTTATATCATAAGGTGTTATTTCACTGTATTTTCGTTCTTCAACCTTTTTCCGAACTCCCATTCTCCTTTTGCTTTTTCCACAAAGCTCCGCCCTCCTCCTCGTCCCCGCACTCCTCCCAATCCCCCATTTCGCACACCCCTTCCTTAGTTTTCATAACTTCCCCCCTCCCATTCGGTTCAAATCATACCTGAAATATTGCCATTTTTTTATTTTTTAATTTTTGTTTAAATGTGATATGTGAGAGTTTTTTTGTTATATAACCAATATTGCTGCTATAAATTCCACTCATCTAAAAGCAACGATAATCAGCGAAAGGGCAATGAAAACACCCAAAAGAAAAAAAAAAAAGACAAAAACATTAAAAAACTTGTAAAAAATTTTAATTAATGTTTCAAATAAACAACTGATGAGAGGGTAAAGGAGAAAAATATGGCAACAACAACAACAACAACAGCAGCAGCAACAAAAGAAGAAGAGAAAAAAAAAAAGAAGAAGGGTTAAAAAAAAGTGAAACAGTAGCGATAAGTTGAAGTTAAATGCAGCAGTTACGAGACAACACGAAAAAAATGAAATAAAATATAAACGATTTTAAAACTTGAATTTCTTTTTTTTTTTTATGCCTTTTTTTTCTATTCTTTATTACCTATCACCAATACCATCATCGTATTCGTTGCCGTTCTTGTTGCCGTCGTCGTCTTCATCATTATCATCATCTTAACTATTCTTTGAATTTTTTGTCGCACCGTTTTCTTTTTGGTCTGTTTTTTGTTCTTTTCTTATTCCTTTATTTTTAAATTTGTTTCCAAAACCTTTTTATTGTTTTAATTGAAGAAAATGAAAAAATAATCCTGTTTTTTTTTCTAATTTTACTGTTGGTCTGTCGGTTCTGTTGTTTTTTTACAAAAACAGTATCAACTGAAGCAAAATTATTTGTAATCAAAATGAAAAAAGATTTCCTCTTTTTTTAATAATAAAAATATACACAAAATGTCATTTCAATAATGTCGCAGCTGTTGAAAAAGTAAAAGTACAAATTAGCATAAAAATTAGAAAAAATTTTTGCCACCTAACACTCGCCAATCAAAGGTTTTTTGGAATTTTTAAATTATCTCCCTTCTTCTAATCGCTGTTTTTCCTTTTCTCATTCCTTGTTATCCAAACCCAAGCTTTGCCTACTCTCACTAGTTCTCCCCTACTTTTGCACAGCCATTTTGGTACTGCAGATTTATCTTTAAGATGTGGGACACTATGATAATGGTTAAGGTTTCGTTGTTTTGCTTCTTCTCTCTTCACCGAGATGTTCGGCAAAGAATATTTGTCTTTTCCGACGACAATATACAAATGGTATTGTAATCAATGGTAATATAACAAATGCAAACATTCTGAACGCGCTGAAAGCCGAACAGTTTTCAAATTGATATAAGCCAATAGTAGCAGCGGGGGATGGGGAAGGGAGGGGGGGGGGAAGCGATGACAAGGACAGGAGCTTTGATCGTCTTTACTAATTCCAAATAGTAATCTGAAGGCAACAACCTGTTTTTTGTAATCAGTTCTTCGTAAGTTTAGAAAATGGAGGAGCCGACTGGAGTAAAGCAGAAGAGAGAGGTACAGTGTATTTGACAGGTGACAAACAGAAGCACCTTTGAACACTGTCTCCAAGTTTGTTTTTGGTTTCCAAACAGAAATATTGCATACAGCTAAGCTTCGCAACATTCGCCTTTGTTGTTCAGTTGATGATATTGTTGTTTGTTTTAAAGATATGATTCTTCCGGTAATGCACCAGTTCCAGTGTAATTTGACAACAGATGATGACACAGGAAGCAGTCCTAATTTTTTTGATTATTCTTAGTTGTTGCGCACAAAGGTGCAAGCGCTATGATATCCAGATTTCAGATGTTTGTTCCTGATTTTTTTTTTCAATTACTCTATAGTGAGTGGCTTTGACGATAGACATGATTGTCGAGAAGTGGCTAAAAAATATAGTAAACAGCTGCTGATGTTACAAGATGTATCACCAAGAAAAGTAAAGCATAAAATAGGTAACATTAAT